TTTTCGTATTAGGTTTCATGATTTGATAATTACTACCCAATATTTAGTGTATACACAAATGGAGGTTAAGCTATGGAATGACAAGTGAGATGTATGAAAACTTTGCGGAGCTGTTTGCCATAATAAAAGCAACAGAAAAGCTTGAGATAGCATATGTCCGAGATGTTATATCATCAACTGAGTATGAAAACGAATGCCAAAAATTGATTGCACATTTCAAGACTCTGTCCTCTGGATTGAAGGACACTGTCCCAAGCATTGAATGACTTCACGACATCTACAAAATGGATTGCCCGTATGTCAGGGGCGGACCCAGGAAATTTATCTTGGGGCTCAAAAAACATTTTGGAGTAAAAATTAGTTTATGAGGGGGCAAAAATTATTTTTCGTATATATATACACTAAAATATTTTGTTGTTGGGGGGCGGTAACCCCGGGGTCTGTACTACAGTCCGCCTCTGCTGTCTGCCCTAAACCGCCGGGTGACCTCAGGGGTGCCTGCAACAGTTTAGCACCAGGCAGCTGCTGCCGTATCAGCTTCCACTTCGGCTGCTGGTGTGGCAGAGTGTGTGCAGAACTTCATCACAGCCATGGACTCTAAAGTAGGGCTGGGCACGGGCCGGGGCGGGGCGGGTAATGCAAAAAAAAAATGGAACCGCCGATTCCATTGTACGGTCCGGTCCGGTCCGGGTATTACAATTTTCAAAATAGGAACCGGAAATTACCCGGCCCGTTTGAAACGGGTCGGTCCGGTCCGGGTTTTACGGTTTCTATTCTCATGTCTTGAAATTAGTAAAAACTCACGAAGTTCCAAAAATCAATAATCAATAATATCGGACATTAGCAAGTTTCAAAATAACAACATAGTGGTGTATATATAACACCAGCGGAAAGTCCAATTCTCCATATTTTCTTGTATATAAGTTTCAAACAATTAAAGAAATTCCAAAAATATGCAACATAGCCAAAATACATATTTTCTAACATTTGTATTTAAACATGTTGTCTAACATCACATATTAAAGTGATTGCTTTTTTTTATATTAAATTTTCAGTATTAGCGAAAGTTGACACATACATGGTGGGTGGTAAACACAATTTATATATTTTCTTTTTTGTCGATGACACAATTTATATATTTTAATAACAATATAATATAAAAAAATATAACAAAATCATCTTTAACAAATAATTAAATTCCATAGAAAGGAATAATTCAATAACAATAAAAAGTAATAAGATATTTATGAAACATTTAATCAATAATTTGAAAACAAAAGGATGTTACTGCAACTCAATTTAAAATCCTACTTCTAGCATAAGAAACAAAACTGTTTCAAAACCGATTATCACAAAACTATTAATAAATTAATATACAATATATATAACGGGCCGGGCCGGGTACCCGTTATTTTTTAATTTTGGAACCGGTCCGGTTCCTTAAAAAAAATTACCCGACCCTACCCGGACCGTTTTATGGAAACAAAAAATGGAACCGGCCCGTTTTGGACCCGAACCGCCATTACCCGGACCGGACCGCGGTTCCAAGACCCGTTTGCCCACCCTACTCTAAACTCAACATGGCTGCCCTAAACTTCATCTCTGCTGTCTGACTTGTCGGCCTCCCTTAACAAGCTCTCGATCTTGCCGCCTGATTTTGAAGGTAAGACTAAAATGAAGGAATGGCTTTATAGGCTGGCTAAAATGGGTGCCGTTGATCATGATGAGTTGACCGAGCAACAGTCTCGGTAGCTGCACTTTGACCTTGAATCTTCATACAATTCCTTCATGGCGGCACTGCCCTCTGCCGGGACTTAGATGATGAATTGAATTTGAGTGCTAATTAATGGTTTGTTTCATTAAAAGAAATTAAGTGGTGCCTTGTTGAACAAATTTTAATTTTGTTGTGCGGATTGACCCTATGTAGGTTTATTATGGTACTACTATTTTTTAAAAGAAAAAATACTAGTTGGTTTGTATTTTACATTTTACATTTTACTAGTAAAAAAATATAATGCAAAGTTGGGCATCATGTCCACTGCAGTCCTCTGTGGTTATGTCGCATCATGTAGTCATACAAAGTTGGGGCATCATGATTAAGATCAAACTGAATGTGCGAAACACTATAGTCATACTGCACTCTGTAGTCTTAAGTACTTGCATCGCCATCAGTTTCTTCATAATCATCTTCTACAATCATGTTGTGTAGGATAATGCATGTGAGCATTATATCACCGAATGTTTGTGTCTGATACATTTGGTCAGGCCCTCATACGATAGCCCATCGCGTTTGTAAAATGCCAACGGCTCCTTCTACACCTTTGCGATAGGCCTTTTGCTTAGCAGCAAAGAGGCGTTTCTTGGGGGATGTCAGGGTAAAAATTGTTTTAACAAAACTAGCCCATGTGGAATAAATTTTGTCAGCTAAGTAATAACATTGATTGTACACGGTATTGTTTACCGTGTAATTCACTTGCGGAACGCACCCATCAACAACAACATCAAACACTTGAGAGCATGCAAGTATGTTAAGGTCATTGTTGGAACCCGCCGTGTCGAAAAATGCATTTCATATCCATGTATTGTACGAAGCAACGACCTCAAGCACAATAGTTGGTTTGTGCTTATGTCTAGTGAACTATCCCGCCCATGTCGTAGGACAATTCCTCCATTCCCAGTGCATACAATCGATGGAACCAATCATGCCGGAAAATCCTCTTTTTGAAGCCCTCTCAAGAAGAAGGTGGAGGTCATCGGGGTTTGATGTTCGCAAGTACCAACAATCGTATGTCCCGATAATGGCCTTACGAATTCATGCTCTCCGCCAGACGGCATAGCCTCTAATGAATCACGGAGCAGCCATTTGCTAGTATGAATATGGCACTTGTTATTTTTGGTTGAGGAGAAGGACATACCTTATTTAGTACATCTTTCTTTAATGTGAAAAAAAGGATCGGCTCGCATCACATCATTCATTATGCAATCAAACAAAGTTGGTTGCATGCGAAAAGACACCGGAAGATGTGAGCTTTGTAAGTTGGATTTGGACTTCAATAGTCATCCATCAAACGACACCAGAAGATGTGAGCTTTGTAAGTTGGATTTGGACTTCAATAGTCATCCATCAAACAACACCGGAAGATTGACACCACTGATACTAGATCTTGGCTCTGCCACTGCATATGTCCCATTATGTGTACTATTTTGATTTGTCACAATTATTAATAATGTGGTTAAAGAAGTAAAAATTGTAGTTGAGATTCGAGTTTATTAAAGTGAAATGTTGTAGACCACATATTTCTTCTTTAAAAAATGTGACATTTATTTTGGGACAACCCAAAAGGCAAAGTAGGTTAAATAAAATGGGACGGAGGGAGTATGATTTTTTATACGTTAATAATGTTAAAAACATTGACTTTTAGGGTGGGGTGAGGCCTAGGTCCCCCCCCCCCCCCCCCCTTCGACTCCCCTGGTTAGAGCCCATCAATCTTGCTACCCCCCGGTCCTCTTCAGAGTTACTCCCTCCGTCCCAAAATGGTTGGCCAATGTTGACTTGCACGTGGATTAATAAAGTAAAAACTGTGTGGTTGAAATTTGTGCAGAGGAGAGATAATTAACTTTAGCCACATATTCCTTACTTTAAATGGAAATGGTCAACCTTTTTTAGATGGCCAAAAAAGGAAATTTGGCCAACCATTTTAGGACGGAGGGAGTATATCATTGAAATGTCTAATATATTTGGATTTTATGAAATTTATAAAAAAAATTTATATAAAATTAATTTTAAGTATATTACACGGTCTCGATTCATCATTTAAAATATGACATCTGAAATTGATTAGAGACCTCACACATAATATATTTGCCATTTTCCCTAGTAAAGTAATCTTAAATTACTAGCAAGAAAATAAGTGAAAGTGAAGTGATTCGACTATTCGAGGGTTGGATGTTTTGTTAATTTTCCTTTGTCATTTTTTCTTTTTCCTACTTGTACTCTTTATTGCTGTTTATTAATAAAATTTCTTTCGTTTAAAAAAAAGTGAAGTAATTCAAGGATAACTTTGGATTAATTTTACCCTTACCTCAACTCCTATAGCCCTACCTAACCAGCTGCTAGGGGTGGACTCGGGCCGGTTCGGGCCCGGTTCGGGCCAGAAAACTAGGGCCCGAGCCCGAACCGCCGGTGGCCGGTTCCGGTTCCGGGCCAAACCGGGCCGGGCCGGGTCGAACCGGTCCATATTTTTTTTTTGATTTTGGTTCTCCTATTTAACCCCCTACCCCTCCCCCTCAACCCCAAACCACCCCAAACCACCTCAAATGGCCCAAAATACCTAATCCAACCCAAAACTTAAAAAAATTTCAAAAAAAAAAAAATAAAATCCGGCCCGGACCGGGCCCGAACCGGCCGGGCCGGTTCACCAAAAGCAGGGCCCGAGCCCGGACCGCCCATCACCTGGGCCGCCAAACCGAACCGCTGGACCCACCGGGTCCCGGGCCGGGCCGGGCCGGGCCAAACAGTAACCGGGCCGGTTCCGGGTCGGGCCGCCCGGCCCGAGTCCACCCCTACCAGCTGCAAAGGCCAGTTTCGCCATCTGTATTTCCTAAAGATCAAGTTTCAAGTTTCAACTCAGAGGTCCTCTCTTCTAAAGCCAAAGTCTCAACTCTCACGTAGTCACTTCAGGTTAAATTTATTTACTTATTTTCACATGTGCAACACTATTCCCTTCCAAGTGGATACAAGATATTGACCAAAGCCTTGAAAATTCAAGGAGCTACAGATATGGTTGAACCTTCAACTACTTCCCAGATCACTGTCCATATGGACAACGAGATATGGTCTTCATCTTTTCATAATATCATCTAATAAATCCTCTTGGTTCCAGACAGTCAGACACCATTTATTATGCCCTGACAGATGATGAGTAAATTCACCATCATTATTACTATTATTATTATTACTATTATTATAAACATCTGAGATGTGAACTGAAATTAATTACCAGCATGTTCAGTGTTCACCCTCTTTGGATTTCTCATTGAGTTATGGAGTAGCATACCTTCTTTTTACATTACATATCGTCAGAATAAAGTGCTAAGGATTGACTGGATTCTATTTCCAGACGTTATATTATGTTAGATGTAACGCAATGTGGTTACACAAACACAATTTTATTAATAAATAAATAAATACCCGAAAAATGATACATAGTTAAGTTGTGATCATATTGCTGAATTTATAGAAGAATCATGCTTAAGAATGACAACTGGTTCTTTGCTAATGCAGAGACTCATCTTATCCGGGGAGCGATTGCCGATTAGTGTGGATCCATGTGAGGGTAGAGTCCCAATATATGCTCCGGCATGAAATCATGACGAGTCAAGATTCCAACAATTGGTGGTCTCTGCAAGAGTACACACAAAGCAACAATATGTTAACTATAGAGAAATGGAAGATATTCATGTGATGCACTTTAGTTAAATGTATGAGTTTTATATTTTGATATATTAGGGTCCCTTTGATGAGAGTTATTTGGCTAGAATGTTGTGCTATTAAAAAATTTGGTGAAATTGATTTCAGCCAAATAAGTCAAAATCACTTATACTGCTGATACGGAGATCAGGTTGAACAATGCTACCAAATGAAGAGTTGTCATATCTCAACATACCCCAAGTCGCTTTGGGACAACACACAAGTGTCGCAGACCGAGTTCCCTGAAGAGAATTGCGGCTTTGGCCAAAGACATTGTTTCTACCACAGTATACGGAGATGTATTCGTAATGGGATGAAGATCAACATACATCTCCAACTCCTCCTCTGCAATATCTAAGTCCTCAACTTTGAGTCCCTTCCCTAAACCCGGCTTTGCATAATCAAACACATGAAACCTCTTCAAAATCTGCGACCCCATCAAAACCTGCTGTTTGGAGAACTTCTTCCCGTTTAACAGAACCAGCAGATGTGATCTAAGAACAAGCCCACATAGTTCTGGTGTTTCTGAGAACGGCGGCTCGTCAATCACCGGAAAACCGTTGTGCTTGGTTAATGTCAAAGCATGTAAGATGTTTCCCACTTTTTCGACACCGGAAAAGGTCATTAACGGTCCGGAGCAAACATCTCCAGCAACCAAATGTTTCATGTATGGTTCCGCGTGAGCTTCCATGAAAGGCAAGCCCTTCATCGTCACAATTTGGTCATACACCCCTTTGTTAAAACAATCAGCCACTGTTTTTGATATGAGCAGAACTAGCATCATTAAGGGGAGCATTAAGAGATCATTAGTGAGTTCAAGGAGAATGACGCAGAGTGACACTGTCATCCTCATGGTCCCACCGAGAAAGGAGGCGGAACCGAGAAGTGCAAAGAGACTGGTGCCTAAATTGGAGACAGAGCTCAAAAAGGTCCCAACGATTCGGCCATATGAGGCGCCAGCTAGGATGACAGGAATGAATAGTCCGGACGGAATGGCAATTCCATAAGTGACAATCCCTAGGAAGTAAACTACGGCAAAAAAGATAAAAAGAGTTGAGATGAAAAACTCATCCCCATCACGTGGGCTGAACAAATTGCGTATGGCATCGTCGTTGGTATTTAGAAAGAGGGAAGCAAGGTTATTGTACTGCCCAGGTGGACACTGGAAATTCTTGTAGTTCCCTGTTTGACCTTTGGTAGGACAGACACCCTCTGACCCTGGAGGACAAGGTCTGCACTTTGCCAACCAAGGGATTCCAAAGGAACAACAAGAAGTCAGGATGGAAATTGTCATGACAAGCAATATCTTGAAACCTGGACCTTTTCTGCAAAATAGTGTAAAAAATCAACAACGGGGAAACAAACAGAGGATAGTAATGAAACATCAGAGAGGAATAAAAGGTATACTCATTGATGATGCTGTATACTCGAAGAACCTTGTCCACAAGATAGTTGTATAAGCTCCCTAAAAGACCACCCAGGACTCCAATTAATATAACTGCCAGAAGATCTGTGGTGTTATAATTAGGCACTGTTGAACTAGTATCAAACATGATTAGACCCCCTTGACCAAATAGTCCACACTTCCCAGACCGGCAAAATTGCATAAAGGATCTCAGGACCACAGCCACTACAGCAGTTGTGAAAAATGTCCTCCATAGAAGTGCACTCCGCCACCTAAATTTGAAAAGTGAGAAAGATCTATTAAAGGATGTATTCATACGTCCTTTATTGGTACAAGCAAGATTCTAAGGTTATGTCTGTTTCCATGAAAATACCTTATTGGTGAAAAATATTTTCTGCAGACAATGATTTCCTAGAAAGTGTCTTCAAGAAAAATAAGATGTCTATATATAATATGACGTCTGACCAATGGAAAATATAAAACAGTTTCATGAAAATAACTCCCGGTTTAAAATTAGGAAGTCTTTCTCCATAAAAAGTATAAGCAAGAGATAATGCTTTCTAATTATGTAGCACGGATACAGGTATGCAAAAACATAGGATACACGGATTGTAATAGGGCAATCTAAGAAACTATAGGATAAAGGTAAACAGGTGTATTTGTGTACATAAGAGTTACAAAGAACTACGGAGTATTTGTAAATATATGATTTTTAAGAGAAAAACATATGAATTAATTTTTCTTTAATTGTGCATAAATTCTAATATTTACAAAAGTTATGTGCAATACTGCAATTTTGTTAATTAATTCTTATGTTTGTATTGAATTTGATAATTATTCTTTCGCTAGTTATCTTGATTTTTTGTCTAATATGTAAAACTTAAAATATATCCATCAATAGAGTTATGTTTTGAAAGACGCTTGATTCGTATATCTATCTGTGATAGGCTTATCTGGATTTTTGAACAATTTACAAGTGCGTCATGAAACTTTTGAGAAATTTCAGATACGTACGGTATGAGTACTTGAGAGTATCCGTTATGGAAATGTTTCCGAGACCAGGATATGACACCTCATTGAAGTGTCTGTGCTACATAGTTTCTAGAAATGTATTCCTCTGCCAAACACATGAAAATTAGAGAGCATTTTTCCATGTAAACAAACAGATCTTAGTGGCTGGACTTTGTTTAGCACCACTTTTCTTAACTTAATATGCCCAACAAAAGGACAGACTGACTTTTTGGTTCTTTGTCATGGTTATGGAATAGAAAATAGTCGGAATATCAATTAAAATGTAGCCCGGAGTGAGAGAGTGTGTGCGTGAATGTGTGAGAGAGAGGTACCACGAGGCAGCTTCTTCTAGGGCAAAAAGGACACCTCCAACTGGGGCACGGAAGGCACCTGCCACACCAGCAGCTGCTCCACATGTGATCAAATCCCTGCGGTCCCTGTCGTTTTTGAAGAGCCTTAGCCATTTCCAGGTCAAATGATACTTGCGAGAACCTCCCTGTCCAAGTAAGTTTGCAATGCAAGCACCCGTATGAACCATGGGCCCTTCCTTTCCCACGACAAATCCAGCAGCAACACCAAAGATGGAACCAAAAATCTGCCAATTTCAAATTCATTTGTTTCACACACTAACTCATCTCCAGAGTCATCCATTGTTTTATTAATCATATAGCATAGCAGAGAATTTTAAGGTTTTTAAGAGTGAAAATACACATACAGAATAAGGCATTTAAGTATTTAACCAACCTTTACAAGAAGGGTGCTAGGAGCCAAAATAGAATGAGCATCAACACCATTGAGATATGCTTTAACTTCAGGAATACCAGATCCAGCAGCAGCAGGTGAAATGAACGCGCACAGGGATGCAGCACAAACAGCTAGAACAAGATTGCAACCGGACAATGCAGCAAAAGCCCGAAAATACCTGCACTAAGAAAATTATTCCCTATATACTTTGAGATGTGATGAAAAAGTAGATAACTGGATCTTGTTATGGTATTTCACCATGGCAAAAGCATGAAATGGCCAACAATTTTTTTGGCCAACAATATACGAATGAAACCTTGCACTCCCTCTTTCTAAAAATAATTCTTCATAGAGCGAGGAAAATACTAAGTATAGCCTGGCAGGTGAAGAGCACTAGTCTGTAGATCTTTAATATTGGGATCCTAAAGCCTCTCCAGAAAAATACCAACCACATAGCTCGCAGATCAACGAGACAATTGACTCACTTTGATCTGCTTAATTATTGTTGGCCAGTTGCAAATGAAATGATGATATATAACTTCAAAAGTTTAGTTTAAATAGAACTAAGCTTACTTTCCCTTGAGCATTAAGTCATTGCTAAGTACAAGTTTGAACCCAGCAATATTCTCGACTGCGAGGTTATTGAAAAAAGCAACAAGCCCTGTAAGTAATCCAATGAGAAATGCAAATGTCCATTTGAGAAATATGTATTGGAATATCTGAACCTTCTTCCTTGACCTCCAATCCTGCTTAATTAAGTCGTTTTCAAGAATCCTGCAGATTGATGAAAAAGATTAAATTTTGAATTTGACAGATGGATACCCAGCTGCAGAGGAAAGCTATGTATATACTGTGGGGTGATTGCATTTCAAGACAGGAATTACATTGCATATAAAAAACATCATCCAATTTTTCATCATTTACAACGGAGCCAAAGACTCACTATTTTTTGGCTTGAGAATATGATGGAATAAAGCTCACTAAGCTGTCTGCACTTCTTTGTTATAAGCAGTAGTCAGTCCATGCATTTTCCTACGCGAATTTCACTATGGGTCATCCGAAAACAGTCTCTGTGCTTTAGTATAGAGGTAAGAGCCTTTGAGGCACTGAGGTAATGAAGAAGATAAAAAATATCATCCAAATCCAACAAGCTCATCAAAATACTACGTTTGGAGGCAAGCAAACTCAGACTAAAAGAAAGCCCCATTCAGCAGATAGATCTAAGCTGATTTGCAACCTAAGTGATCGAGAGCAGAAACAAGAAAAGTAAAAAAGAAGAGCTTGGTAAAAAAATCCAAAAAGATGCAACAGCTTCTGCCTAACTACAAATATAATCCATTACCCTACTCCTATCACATAACTTTCATGATTTCATCTTCCTCCATATAAAACAAAATTGCATACTGGCCTGCTTTTATACAAGAAACAATCTCTAATGTTCTGGGAAGGAATAATGAATGAGTAGCAAGTGTAGTACGAACAACAGAAAACAGACATACTCGTAATCGAGACTTTCGATTGGGCATGTGTTGGCTCCGATGATGGCAATCTGCGAGGTGTTGTTGACTCTGTTATTGTAATGAAGCAGCGGTTCTCGGATAGTCCCCGCGGCGGCGTCATCATAATCCTCAGCCCGGCCATCGTGGTTCTCGGAATTGGCCGCCGCGGCATCCTCTATATCAACTTCCTCTTTATCCATTCACGAGCAAACAAAATTGCAGTTTGTTCGTTACAAAATTCAGGGGCTCAAGCTCTATTGATTTAGGCTTCGCGTCGATGAAATTCTCCGGTGAAGAAGGAGAAGGTATATTTTTCCGTCAACTGAGGAGTGTAGCAGAATGAAACAAAGAGATCGTGATCATGTCAATTTTAATTTATAACCATATAAGAATGGGAGATCGAATCCCACCAGAACTGCTGCCACCGTTAGGCCTGTCAATGGGTCCGCCCGTCGGGTCCGGGCCGGAACGTAGTGTTCCAGACTCAGATCCGCTAAGTTAATAATGGATCCAGACCCGATCCGTTTACCTGGTGGGTTTGAAAATTTGGACCCAGACCCGGACCCAACGGGTCTCGGAACCGGATCGGGTAGACCCGCCCGCCCAAAGTATGATACCGTTATAAATTTTGTGAAAATAACAAAACCTCTATGTGCAATGTAAAGAAAAGTGTGTAAACTAACAAGCAAAATATATCCCCACTTTTTCAAAAAAAATCAATGTTTGTGATGTTATTACTTTTATCCAATAAAGTATTAGTTCTTGCATATAACTCCACATGCACTCTGTGTCGCTTTTTCTCGTACATAGAGCTCGTAGAATAAACTTCAAATTAAGTCATACTAGTAAAAGATTTCTTGGACTATTGAGAGTATAAAAATATATTGTACGGAGTGTATGATAATGATATAATAATATTAATAATAATCTAATCTAATCTAATCTAATCTATCTAAAAATTTATAAGAATCAAAAACTTATAAGAATCAATGATAGTTAGGGCATTTTATGAATGATAAAAATGTTGGTTTAACATTTAAGCAAGATGCACTTGTACAATTTGTTTTAATCATTGTACAATTCACCATTACCCATAATTATACCCTTACGTCCGTTAAAACCAACCTTTAAGATTCCAACCTTACGTACGTAGCACCAAGAATGTGTTGAATAGCAATCATTTCCACTTTATGCATGTTTTCATTTATTTTTGCATTTTCAATTTTTCTTACGTTACTTTATACTCCCCTCCGTCCCCTTTTAAATGTCTCATTTTACCATATTGGGATGTCCCTATTTAATTGTCTCATACCTTATTTGGTAAAGTTTGTGTGGCTCAAAATCATTCTTACTTTATTCTTACTTTATCAATTAATATCAACCACACAATCCCACTTTTCTTAAAACTCGTGCCACCCTCCTCCGGGACTTTTAAAAGGGGACGGAGGGAGTATTACTTTATATTTATATGGTTTTATATTTATATGATAGGTAGAAGATAATATTGTGGTCGTGTTTGACATCTAGCAGTTAGCTGTTTGTGGATAACGGATTATGTTAGCGGGTTGTCAATAACAAATTCAGTCAGTAGGTTTGCTTAGCGGAATAAGTTGGCGGATTGTCAGAAGATGTTTGATAATTTAGTTGCTTAATCACAACAATTAGTAGAAAATGCCATATTTCACAACATACATTGGGCATTTAGTTAATCGCGCAACGCACGTGTAAATAACTAGTAATTATTATAATAATGAATATTGTGTGTTGCTAACCGAGTCCAATACACGTTTATCATTGTGAATAAACGGTCAAAATGGGTATTGATTTAATGCTATCACACTATCTCGATCAGTATCACTTATATAATAGGTATGTATTAGTGTGTGTATTTTTTATTGAAGAATTACGACTAATATTTTATGTATTATTATGTATATATATATGCGTGTGTGTATATTAGTTTGTAATTTTTTACTTGAAGTGTTATAATTAATCACTTTATGTATTAGTGTGTTTGTATACAAATAAGAAATTTTAAACGGGTCTGGGTCCTTAACGGGTCGGAATCATGTGTACCGTATCTGACCCGTTTATTAAATATACTAACGGGTCCAGATCCGGGTCCGGGTAAACGGAATAAAATATAGACCCATACCCGTTAAAAATAACCGGGTCCGGGTCGGGTCCGGGTCGGGTCCGGGTCTAGACCAGACCCATTGACAGGTCTACCCACCGTCCTAAGAATTTGTATACGGAGTATCTTACCATATATAGTTGCTCTGATGATATTTACTGAGTAGTACAATAGGAGTATAAAATTAAAACTAATTTACCATTGTTAAAATTAGAGAAATTTGTTGATTTAGTCCCGTAACTTATAGCTATACCCGATATTGGTCCTGTAACTTGATTAACTTGTAGATTACATCCCGTAACTAATAAGTTGGTGCAATTTTGGTCCTTCTCTGCCAGAACTTACCAATTTCGCCGGAAAAGACACATCACCTGCCACATGGTATATTATTTGGAACTCATTTGCTGACTCGATGTTGGCCCTTAGCTAGAGTTAAAAAATTATTTCTTCTTGGTTGCAACAGGAGCATTTTGAATGAAGTTTAAAGCTTTTTGGATTCATGTTTTAAGAATAAAGCATTTGAAATGTTACATCCTCTTCACTTCTCACATCTTTAACATGAGAAAGATCAGGAGCAAAAACACTAGCCCCACAACAACTATGAGGAGCCTTTTATTTTTAGCCTTCAACTTTACAACCTCTTCCTCTTTTGAATTGAGTCTTCTAACCAATCCCGGAATTATCATCGTTCAACGATGGCACATAGGTGGGTCCGCCCATTCAAAAAATCTGCAACCTTCTGTCTGTAGCAAAACAAGATGAAGCTTAACTTACTTTTTACTGCTTTGAACACAAAAATACATTATCAAATGCCCCCAACAAATAGAAAATGGTAATTTTATTAGCAAAACCCAGCCTAAAATATAAAATACATTTTAATTTTCAAACAAATTTATTATTCAAATGCTATTCTTAAATTTCTAGTTTATTTAGTTAAAAAAGAAGCAAACAATGTAAATTAAAAAGCTGAACTTCTTACTCTGCTTCTAGCGCACACACGAAACCTCCTTCCAGGATCGTTATCAGTCCAAGAAGTTAGAAGAGAAACCTTTTTACCACAATCACACTCCATAAACTTTTGTCTGATCGAGAGCCGTTACTAGCAGATTTTGAAGAATAACTCACTCTCTCGACTTAGTTCAGGAGAAATCTTCAGGTAAAGTTATATGTTCTTCCCCCCCTTTGCAGATCCGATAATAGGCTTGGTATGGTTGTGCACGCACTTAGCGAAGAGTTTTCCTACTCTGGTTTTTTAACTGCAGCTAAGGGCCAATATTGAGTCAGCAAATGAGTTCCAAATAATATACCATGTGTCAGGTGATGTGTCTTTTTCCGACGAAATTGATAAGTTCCGGCAGAGAAGGACCAAAATTGCGCCAACTTATTAGTTACGGGATGTAAATTGCAAGTTAATAAAGTTACAGCACCAATATCGGATATAGCTATAAGTTATGGGACTGAATCAACAAATTTCTCATAATTTTTGTGTTAAATATGATCTCTATGATGATGATGAACAACAAAAGTACTATAGCCAAGCACTTTGTAGTTCAATGCATCATTATAGCACTCTCAAAAAGGAGGTTACAAGTTTGAAAGTTGATCTAGAATGTTTGCATTTAACGGAACAAATACTATAATATATATTAGAAAAATGGATAAAGAATTTCATAACACTCCAACTTTAATCTTTCAAAAAAGAAAAAGGTTCACAAAAATAATTCGGAGTGTTATTGGTGTTCCTAAAAACTTAAAAAATGAATAATGTAGAAGTAAACATGGAGACCTGTTTTTCCTTGCTAAAGAAGTGTCAATATTGACGTGGCCCCGTTAAATTGATAAGATGAAGTTTATCACAAAAGTAGACAATAATTCAATTCTCCATAATGATTATGGAGGCAATTATGCTCGTGATAAGATATTTAAGATCTATGTTAAAATGGGTGTAGACACAATCATTGAGGCGGTTTGGCAACACTCTATTTCGGCTTATCAGACTTATCAGCCAGCTTTTTCACCAAACGTGTAATTTTTGTTTTCGCGCGCTGAATTATGTAATAAGCAGAAAAAGTAAGGTTGGAGTTACTTTTCTGACTGTATTGACTGAAGCTACTGTAGATGATCATTTTTAGCTATTTTTACATATATTTTTTTCATTATTTTATTAATAAAATATATTTTAAAAATAATTTTTTCTTGAATCAGCAGAATCAGCCAATGCAGCCATTTCAGCCAAAACTTCATAAATTTCAGCAGAATCAGCCAGGGCCGGGTAGTTCACCAGGGCGCCTGGCCCGGGATAACTTTACATTTTTCAAAATTAGATAATTTCTTTAATACTTTTAAAATAATATTACAACATTTAAAAAATTGTTCATACATTTATAAGGTTTTGACCACATACACAAAAAATATTATTACTAAATCTTTAAATTCAAGCACATAATATGTAGGAACATGCTTAGAACCAGGCCCGAATACCCCAGCAGGCCCAATCCGCATGAGGGCCCAATAGGCAGTGCTAGTCAATCCAAGAAAGTCGCTCGACAATCTCGCCTGGGTAGCACCGCTCGGCCCAATTTCATCATCATCATCATTACCCGGAGTGACATAAATGCTCCCAGTTACGGTGTGTTAAGGGGGCAGTATGTATGCGGTCTTACTCCTGCACTAAAGCATAGAGAGACTGTTTCCGGATATACACAGACGTCCAAAATTGCATGGATTGACTTCTGCTTCATAACAAAAATTAAAGCACATACAGTTTAGTGAGTCATTGTGTTTTATTTCATCATATTTTCAAGCAAAAAAATAGTGAGTCTTTGGCTTCATTGAAAATGATGGAAATATTTATGTGTAAAAATTTATCTGAAAAAATTCTTTGTACCGGCCCACCCAAACCTTGGATTTTATATCTAAAAACTCAACACAGTGAACAAGCTAGATGCTGTTAAACCAAGTTAGAACAAGTAATCGTGGCCGTTGAGGAAGAAAGGTTGAAGAGAAATTGAAAGACGGCCCCTAGTCGTGAATAGCGTGGCTATCGTTAAACAGTGCATGAAAAACGTGGATCGGATGCGCCTTGACATCCTCTTTTTCTCCCCATCTGCCTATCACCCTAACGTGCATATATAAAAGCTTCAATTTAACCCACGAAAATGAGCAGATAATCCTCTCACATTCTATACCCCAAATTGGTCATAATACAACCTTTTCCCAATATCAACCCTTTCTGGTTCGATAAAGGCAGGTGGTCATA